CCCTGTGGGTATTTAGGGGCCCCTATAGATGTATAGGGGGGGTCTCCTTATACATGTCCCCCCCCAAGCAGCGGCCGCCCCCGGAAGTGATGCCGAGAGCCCCCCATTGAAGGCCCCGCCATGGCTGACAAGAGGAAGCTCCAAGGTAACGGGGGGACCCCCCCCCTAATTAATTGGGGGGCGGGGGGGGGCGTAATTAACCTAATTAACCGGGGGGGGCGCCGCCGACGACAGGCGAGATCGACCGGTGCCTCAAGAAGGTCTCCGAGGGCGTGGAGCAATTTGAGGATATCTGGCAAAAGGTAATTAAAGAAAGGGGGAAATTGGGGCTTCGGGGACCCCCCCGCACCCGTGGGGCCCCCCCCGGTGTCGCCCCGGTCCCATTTGGGCCGTTTCTTGCCCCAAAAACCGCCCAGCTCCACAATGCGGCCAACGCCAACCAGAAGGAGAAGTACGAGGCCGACCTGAAGAAGGAGATCAAGAAGCTGCAGGTTAGCGGTGGGGAACAACCGGCCGTCCGGCTGACGCAGCAACACCCGGACACCCCCAACACCCGCGGGGACCATCGGGGGGGGTCTTTGTGACCCCCCCGTTCCCAACACCCCCCCAAAACAGAGGCTGAGGGACCAGATCAAGACGTGGGTGGCGTCCAACGAGATCAAGGACAAGCGGCAGCTCATCGACAACCGCAAGCTCATCGAGACGGTGGGCGCCTGTAGCCACACCCCCGGGGGAGGTGTCGCCTCGCAGCCCCGCCCCGTTACACCCCCTGCTCCGCCTGTTGTTGCAGCAAATGGAGAGGTTCAAGGTGGTGGAACGGGAGACCAAGACCAAGGCCTATTCCAAGGAAGGGCTGGGCCTGGCGCAGAAGGTYGACCCGGCGCAGAAGGAGAAGGAGGAGGTCGGCCAGTGGTTGACGGTGAGGAGGCCGCGCGGCTGTAGGCGCCGCGGCTGTTGCCGCCGCTCCGCCTGACRCCCCGCGTGCCCCCCTCCGCAGAACACCATCGACACCCTCAACATGCAGGTGGATCAGTTCGAGAGCGAGGTGGAGTCGCTCTCGGTGCAGACGCGCAAGAAGAAGGGTGACAAGGACGTGAGTGCGCCGCCGGGTGACAAAACAACAGCCGCGCGACAGAACAACACCCGCATGCGCTGCTTTTTGGGGCTTTTGGGGGCTTTTGGGGGAGTTTTTACCCATTTCCAGCCACTTTTCACCCGTATCCAAGTAGAAGGGTGACAAGGATGTGAGTGCACCGGGTGACAAAACAGCTGCATGACAAAACAACACCCGCACGCTCTAGTTTCTGGTGCATCTGGGGACGTTTTTACCCATTTCCAGCCGCTTTTCCCCCGTATCCAAGTAGAAGGGTGACRAGGATGTATGTGCACCACCGGGTGACAAAACAACAGCCGCGTGACAAAACTACACCTGTACGTGTCAGGTTTTAGGGAGCATTTTTCCCCATTCCCAACTGCTTTTCACCCGTGTCCAAGAAGAAGGGTGACAAGGATGTGGGTGCGCCGGGTGACAAAACAGCCACGCAGCAACACCCGCACGCACCAGTTTTGGGTGCTTTTGGGGGTGTTTTCACCCATTCCCAGCCACTTTTCGCCTGTATCCCACCGCACGTGCCAGTTGTTGTCCCTTTTTGGGGGGTTTTCACCCGTTCCCAGCTGCACGCACCTGTTGTCCCTTTTTGGGCCATTTTTCTCCATTCCCAGCTACTTTTCACCCGTATCCCACCCCACGCCCCAGTCGTTGTCCTTTCTTGGGGCGTTTTCACCCATTCCCGGCTCTTTTTCAACCCACACATGCTGTTTTTTGGCGCTTTTGGGGCCGTTTCCCCCCATTCCGAGCCACTTTCCACCCGTATCCCGCCTCACGCTCCGCTTGTGGGCGTTTTCCCCCACTCCCGGCTCGTTTTCACCGTTTCCCTCCGTTTTCCCCCCAGAAACAAGACCGCATCGAGGGCCTCAAGCGGCACATCGAGAAGCACCGSTACCACGTGCGCATGCTGGAGACCATCCTGCGCATGCTGGACAACGACTCCATCCTGGTGGACGCCATCCGCAAGATCAAGGACGACGTGGAGTACTACGTGGACTCCTCGCAGGACCCCGACTTCGAGGAGAACGAGTTCCTCTACGACGACCTCGACCTCGAGGACATTCGTAAGCCCCGCGCCCGCCCCTGTACACCCGTTCCCGGCTGTTGGCCGCCTGAAAACACCGTTTGCTGGGCCTTTTCCCGCTGTTTTGGGGGCGGAAACACCCRCTTTTGCAGCTTTCCGATCATTTTCAGGGGGAAAATTCCCACTTTTGTGCATTTTCTAGCTGTTCCTGTGTCAGAAACACCTGGTTTTATCATTTCCCGGCTGTTTGCAGGGCCAAGACACCCCTTTCAGGGGCATTTTTCAACTGTTTTGGCATCGAAAACACCCGTGTTTGTCGTTTTCTAGTCATTTTCACATGGAAAACACACAGTTTTGTGCATTTTCTAGCTGTTGTTGTGTCAGAAACACCTGGTTTTATCATTTTCCAGCTGTTTTCAGGTCCAAAAGACCCGTTTTGCRAGTTTTCTGATTGTTTTCAGGTCAAAAGTGCCATTTTTGTGTGTTTTCTAGCTGTTTTCATGTCAGAAACACCTGTTTTCAGCCTTTTCTGGATGTTTTCAGGGCAAAAACACCCGGTTTTGTTGTTTTCCAACTGTTTTCAGGTCAAAACCACCTTTTTTGGGGTCATTTTACAGCTGTTTTCAGGTCCAAAACACCCATTTTGGGAGTTTTCCCGCTGTTTTCAGGTCAAAAACATCTAGTTTTGGTCATTTCCTGGCTGTTTTCAGGGTGAAAACACCTGTTTTCGGAGTTTTCCAAATGTTTTCAGGTCAAACACACCTGTTTTTRGTCGTTTCCCATCTGTTTTCAATTCCAGAACACCCATTTCTGTCATTTTCTGCCCATTTTCAGATGAAAAAACACCCACTTGGGATTATTTCCCAGCCGTTTTCAGGTCAAAACACCAAAAACACCCATTTGGGGCATTTTCCAACTGTATCTAGGTCAAAAACACCCACTTCTGGTCATTTTCTGGATGAAAACACCCGTTTTTGTCATTTTCTGGCTATTTTAACATCAAAAACATCCATTTTCATCATTTTCCGGCTGTTTTCACAACAAAAATACCTGTTTTGACCATTTCCCAACTATTTTTGCATCCCAAGCCMCCATTCTTATCATTTTCCATCTACTTCCAAACCAGAAACACCCCTTTTCAATCATTTTCCAGTTGTTTATACRTCAAGAATTCTTCTACACCCCGTTTTCATCATTTTCCGACTGTTTTAACGTCAAGAACTCCCTGTTTTTTCTCATTTCCCACCCGCTTTCACGTCAAAACCTCCCGTTTTTTACCACTTTTTCCTGCCGAGCCCTCCTACTTTTATCGTTTTCCGCCCGGTCCCGCGCGCAGCCCAGCTCCCCGGGCGCCTGTAGCGGCCCGTGCGGTTGTTGTCCTCCAGCACAGGCGCTCGTGGCCACCTCGCCGCCCAGTCACAGCCACATGGAGGACGAGATCTTCAACCAGTCGAGCAGCACCCCCACGTCAACCACCTCCAGCTCCCCCATTCCCCCCAGCCCGGCCAACTGTACCACGGTAAGCAACAGGCGGACGCCGCGCCCGCTCCCGCCGCACAGCCGCCGACGCCGCCCTCTTCCCGCCGCCTGTAGGAGAACTCGGAGGATGACAAGAAACGGGGCCGCTCCACGGACAGCGAGGTCGGGCAGGTGAGCAGCGGCGCGGCTGTAGCGCCGCCGCCTGACGCGCCCGCCGCCTGACGCGCCCGCTGCCTGTTCCCCCCGCTCCCGCCACTACAGTCGCCGGCCAAGAACGGTTCCAAGGGCCTCCACAACAACCACCACGCGGCGTCGCCGGCGGTGACGCCCAGTTACCCCTTGGGAACCGCGGCCGCCGCTACAGCCGCTGCCCTGGGCAACGGTCCCAACGGCGCCGGGGTCCTGGCCGGCGGTACCGGAGCCCCCGGCACAGGCGGCGGCAAGGGCAACAGCGCCGCAACAGCCCACGCGCCCAGCACCCCGACACCCTACGCGCAGGCCGTGGCGCCGCCGGCCGCTACAGCCGCCGCCGCTACAGCCGCCGCCGGTGGTGCGGCCCAGCCCCGGCCCCCCAGCGCACAGCAGAACGCCAACAAGCAGAACGGGGCCACCAGTGAGTGCGGGGGTTCCCTCGGCCGGCTGTACCTGGGAGATGGGCGTCAGGCGGACTGGGAAACGGGGTGCGGCGGGTCCGACTGTAGGTGCCAGGTGGGGGGACTGGGGTTCTCCGGGCCGACTGTACACCCGAGATGCGGGTAGTGGGAGGTCTGGGTGTCACCGTTTCTTTGCTGACTGTAGTTCCGAGGTGGGCGTCCTAGGAGGTGCCGACTGAACGCTTGAGAACAAGGGTCCTGGGAGGTGGGGGTGTTGCGGTTCCCTTTTCCAACTGTAGGCCCAGGGTGGAGGTGTTGGGGTTCCTGTTGCTGCCTGTATGTTGAAAATGGGGGTGCTGGGGGTACCGTCCCCTCTTTGTCACCTGCCTGTCACCCTCTTGTCACCCTCTTGTCACCTGCCCATCACCCGTTTGTCACCCACTTGGCACCTCTTTGTCACCCGCCCATCACCCATTTCTCACCCACCTTTAACCCCTTTGTCACCCGTTTATCACTTACCTGTCACCCATCCATCACCTGTTTGTCACCCATTTGTTACCCCCCATCACCCCTTTGTCACCCTTTTGTCACCTGTTTGTCACCCGC